AAAGCAAATGATCTAGCTAGAAAAGGAGCGAACACTCCACTAACTGGACCAGAACCGTTCTGTTTTCCAAACGGGAACCAACTGAAAGCGGAACTGAACAATCTGGAAGACTCCATCCGTAACTTAGAATGGGTGTCCTCCAACGGTCTAAGACACTATAAAAAGTTCCTCAGAACTTACGACCGAGAAAAATCAAAGGTTTTCCTTGATTTAAGCAAAAACAATCTTCGGATTTTCACGGGGTTTCTAAAAGGACACTGTCTCCTCAACGAACACCTCAGTAGGCTGAAACTGAGAAACAACGGCGAATGCAGATTTTGTGGGGAAAATGGGGAAACACCAGAACACCTTATCACTGAGTGCGCCGAGACGACGACCATTCGTGCCATGAACCTTGGTACGTCTAATGTCGAGGCTGGAGAGCTGGCCTCTGTGGAGCCGTCTCAGATACTGGCTCTTAAAGCCCTGAGACTGTATGATGAGTTATAACTCGTTATAAGTCAAGAAAGGGGAACACACAATAGATCTATAAGGTCGCGGTGATTAACTCCCCTCCTAAACATTCTACATTTTACAAGAGTTTTTCCAAAAAGCTCACCGGTTTTTAGATAAAAAATATTCTAATATTTGAGGGGAGGTTTCACCCCCTTAGAATTCGAGTTTCGAAAAATCCCTTCTTAACGAACCTCTACACCCTAAAGTCAATCTGTTTTTCAAAAATCAGCTTTTTACGTCAAGCGCTTTAAGCAGGATCGTGATTAATCAATGACCAGATTTTTCAAAACACCTTGTATGCATTTTTAAAAAATCTTAAAATATGTAAAAAAAACAAAATAAAATATACGTATTTAAGCGGCTTTTCGGAAACTTGACCGTTTTTTAAATAAAAAATACTGTAATATTTGAGGGGTGGTTTCACCCTCTTGGAACTGGAATTTCGAAAAATTCCTTCTTATCGAACCTCTACACCCTAGAATCAACCTGTATGCCAAAATTGAGCTTCTTACGTTGAGTGGTTTGAGTAGGATCGTGATTAATCAGTGAGTCAGTCACTTACGGATTTTATATATTAGTATAGATTTCAGAAATCTGCCTAAGGCTTAACCCGATCCTGTCGTGTTAAGCCACATCAAAATTCCAAACACACGTGCTTTGATTAAGGTTTGCAGAGCTTCAGCATTTGCCATAAAATAGCTAGCAATTTGTTACAAAACCATATAAATTATATATCACTGTAAGCACAAAACTTCAATCTATGTCCGTATTGTAACGGAATATTAAATTATTTCTTTAATTTCGAGAAAATTTAGTCCAAACATAAGGAATATTTTGTTGATGTTTGACCATCAAAATCTTAAAAATAAAGAAGTTGTCTAAAAATGTGCTACAATACGAAATAGTATAATCCTTTATCTTTAATTTCCTTCTTCGTTTGTGTAAAAATACCTAGCCAGTTTTACATAAAACGTTAAATGCCGAACGCTTATTTTGATTCTTTTTCGGACTAGTGAAATGGACTCTTAAAATAGCGAAAACCCCAGACTTTTTTCAAGAAAAGAATTGTATGGTTTATATTTTCTCAATTAGGAACTGTTTACATATGCATAAACTTTTCAATGCTAATACAGTTACAAAAAAAAACAATGGAATTAGTTATATTATTTCATTATAAATTCACATCGCATCACCACACAAGTTATAAAATAAAGACAACATTTCACAATCTAGACAACGAAATCCATTGTTTTAATAAATTATATATAGATATAAATATACATGTAGTCATAAGTTCTAAAAGCGGGTCGTCTCATAGAATAATAAAAATTAAAAGTTAAACAATTAACACGGACCGGCTTAGAGCCTAATTGAACAACACAATACACCATAAACGTTCTTCCGCAATCTTTCATCTAGTCTGGTTAATTACTAATTGTCAGAGACTTCACAGCAATTGGTAAGTTAAGATAAAGACCTCGTCTGTCTTCTTCAATTAAGAATTTTTAATCAAATCATAGTGGACAAGGGAACGAAATGGTTTGAATTATTTTACCATATTATTAAAAAATTATGTCAATTAAACTGGGTCATGATTTAACTATATGTACAGTATGTTCCCGGATTGTCTTTACAAGAGGAAAAAAAAACTCTTTTTATTATTGACATTTTGAGAAAAACGCATTCTTCATAAAAATTATCCCGTTTGTACTTTTCGAAATTTCTATACCGTTTTAGAGAAAATTAGAAAAAAAAACATGAAAATATAGTTGAATCTTTTAGTCCTAAAAATTAAAACGCGTTTCTATGGTAATATAATTTCATTTTCATTCTTTGATAGGTTGTTACTGATAGAATTTTAATTAACCTCATACTTGTTGTTGTTTTAAAATGTTAAAGAATTTGTGGTTAAAGAAGCACCAAATTTATTTAGTTCAATGCCACGGAAAGGGTGATAATAGTGATCGGAAAATGTGGTACTTTAACAATAATTGCAAAAATTCTATGACGTTAATCAAAATTGATAATAACCATCTATCAAAGAATGAAATCTAAATTATATTACCATAGAAACGCCATTCTGTAAAACATAATGGAAATTTGGAAACTTATAAACGGTATTAGCCATTTGAGAACAAACAGTAGCAATTTTGTTAGGAAGAATGTATTCTACTCAAAATGTTCGGTATTTTGTAAATATCTCGAAAACTATGCGTTTTTCGCGAAAATTTGAGGAGAGCAAAATTAAAGAGAATAAAATGTCCTATAAAAAAGGTTTTATGAAAATTTTCGCTAAAGTCAACCAGTTAGGCACAAAATCCTTGGAAATTTTACAATTTTGCGTAAAATATGATATATTATGTATAGTCGATTTTCCGAAATCAAATGTCGATTAGGGTTCACTAAAACTAGTTTTAGTTTAGTTTCTTCAATTTTGTCATGAAACAGTGGCGTATCATTAATTCGCTCATTAATTTATGAATAATTAATTGTCGTACTGGACAGCATTCATTGCGAACTTACCACCAGGTTCAGCATTGGTCTGGTAGTACCAAAGATGCCGAAGAATGGGGTTGGAAGAAAACAAAAACAGGCATTACTCCAGTTACAACGTTGAAAGATCCAGCTCCAAAATCTCTGTTGGCATTTTTATCCTGTAAATGCAAAATCAACAACTATGGTAAAGCCTGCGGATGCAGAAAAACAGGATTAAAATGTTCAATGATTTGTGCATACTGCAATGGAAAATCCTGTGACAACGTCACTGAAGTGTCACTCGACGAATGCGATGAAGAGGAGTTGGACTTGCCTATAGATATCCCTCTGGCTGCTGAAGATGAAGAGTTGGACGTATTGAGAGATCACCCTGATGAGCCCAGCACAGCAGACACAATCGACTTTGGCATCAATGAACCAGAGCCGTCGGTCTTGTGCAGATAAGTTAAAGTTTTTAATTTATCTAGTGGAGTAGGCCTCCGGGAAGACCACGTTAAAATAAACGCGCCATATACTTTACCTCTTGGGTGGTGTGGAAACAAGTACACATTTTCAATAATTAAAATTAATTATTCATAAATTAATGAGCGAATTAATGATACGCCACTGTTTTATGACAAAATTAAAGAAACTAAACTAAAACTAGTTTTAGTGAACCCTAATCGACATTTGATTTCGAAAAATTGACTATACATAATATATCATATTTTACGCAAAATTGTAAAATTTCCAGGGATGTTGTGCCTAAACGGTTGACTTTAGCGAAAATTTTCATGAAACCTTTTTTATAGGAAATTTTATTCTCTTTAATTTTGCTCTCCTTAATTTTTTGCAAAAAACGCATAGTTTTCGAGATATTCACAAAATACCGATTTTGGGCGCCATCTTGGCAAAATGGCGGCGCCCGCGGCAAGTCTGGAAATGTGCATCTTATGGATTTTAGTTAGGGACCCCAAAACCTATAAGTGTGCTATAAGCCTGCAAAGTTGCAAAACTTCCGGACATTTTTCCAAGCAAAAATCCCCAGTGACTGAACTAAATATGTTATCGATAAAATAACACATAAGACTAGGATTTAGCTGTATTCCGAGCAACTTGCCCCAGCACACTGTCCCAAGCAGAAGGAGGTGTTGAGGTTGAGTAGCACACGTTTCCAACATAAATCGCAACCAAAACACAAACTGAGACTGGAAAATAATGCCGACACTACAGGCATGCATCAGGAGAGGCCTCATACCATGAGAACGCCTTAAATCCCCATAGGGGAAAATGGGAAGTACTATGTCCCAATAAAGACCCTCGGGAAATCTCGAGGGTTTCCATGATTAAGAAATCCAGTCTCTCCTCCATCAAACATTCTGGTGTACTACTACGAAAAAAACTGTCACCAAGCGTGCCAGATACTTACTGAACCAATAACTGCAGAGAAAGGAATACGACAAGGCGATTCATTAAGAATCAATCAAAACAAGCGAGATGAAAATCCTCCGCAAAATCACAGGTAGAACGCTGCTAGATAGAGAACGAAGTGACAACTAAAATAACGTAAACAAGAAGGTGGATAGCATTAATGAATGGGTATTGAGCAGAAGACGCGAATGGAATGAACATATAAGCCGAATGGACGAGGGAAGAATAGTAAGCACGGGAAAGCCAAGACAAAGATGGTGTGATAACAATACCATCGATTGAAACTGTAGGCATGATGTGAAGAATAAACAGGCAATCTGACTAATATAGAGTAGGAAGAAGAAGAAAGAAGAAGTTGAGCTGAAAAACTTTATCCTTTTCGTTGACATTCCAACCATACGTTACCATTCCAAATAAAATGACTAAAATATAATCCAGACTTATAATAGTGACGTCAACAAAAAAAAATCAGACTACTTTTTTTTTGGTCAAAAAATCTAAAGTTACTGAGCTATTAAAAGGGTCGTAATATTACTCACGCTCTGTCAAATCTTTATTAGGGGTATATTGTGTTTTGTTAAGTCCAAAAAGTTACTTACCCACAAACGAGTCCCAACTATCGCTCAGCTGAATATAATGCCTCAAACACGACGTCACCGTATCCGCACAGTACCGCCAACATGCTCCTGCTCCTACCTCGCCCCTGCAATGACCGCAATGTTGCATGACGGTCATGCTGCTGGAACATTCGTCGTCTATGGCCAGCGAGGTAACCGTTCGAGCCGCTTCCGCCGCCCTCATGAGAGCCTTGTAGAAGGTCCTGGTGGCGATGAAGGCGCGACAGAGTTGATGACTCAGCTTGTAAGGCACATCACCGAATGGATTGAGTTCGGTCATGTGTTCGGTGACACAACCTAAAACAACAAAAAAATAGGTAAAAATATTGTGTGTGCACTATGTGCGCATATTTGAAGTGAAATTTCTTACTAACATCTATTAAATTGAAGGATATATTTTTTTATGAATGCCCTTTTTATAATAACAATAATAGAAAGAGATTGCTTTATTGTCATAAAAAAATTAAACAATTTTGTTGACAAAGCTTAAAAAAAAAGAATATAAAAAACATACAAAACTTCACTTAACAATAAAAAACATATAACTAATGCAAACATACAAAACTAAAACAATACTTTATACAATTATAGAAATTGTACATTGTCAAAAATTTATTTAATTAAATATAAATAAAATATAAACATACATGTAAATAAATAATGTATATAATGTCAATACTAAATTTAAATGGATAGAAAACAAAATCATTTCTTAAATTTAGTGAATCTGTGTTAAATTTAGAACCCTAGATATTAATAAAAAAATCGTTAACCGCGTAAAAGGCTTTCTCCAGTAAGTATGATCTCAAGGCTCTGCGAAATGCAGGAAAGGATGAAATGGAATCAATTTCAGATGGCAGATGATTGTGCATTTTTTTTGCATTGTACAATATGGAACTCTTTACTAACTCAGAGTGAGGGGTTGGCAGATACATGTTATGCTCTGCGTTCCTAATTGGATAGCCATGAACTGGCTAGAGAAATACTCGATACGTGCTTGCGAACTAGGCAGACGGATTCGAGTATGAATAGGGAAGGAAGAGTTAATATTTTATATCTTTTAAACAAGTCCCGGCAGTGAGCACGACTGGTTAGCCTCAGTGAATATCGCACAGCTCTCTTTTGTAATTTGAAGATACGCTCAAATTGAGTCGCACAACACGCACCCCAGAATGGAAGTGCGTATCGGAGATGCGACTCAAAAAGGGCATAATAGACTGTCCTAGATGTTGACAAATTAAGCACATTAGCAACTGATCTAAGTGCGAAACAGGCAGAACTTAATTTTTTAGCTAAAGCATCGATGTGCAAATCCCATTTTAAATAGTTGTCCACAACAAGGCCTAAAAATTTCACAGAATCAACGACGTCAATGGTGGTATTATCAAGTTGAAAAGGTAGCAACGTACTTTTATATGATAAGACTTTAGTTTTAGAGACGTTGAGACACAGATAATTAGAATCGCACCATGTTTTTATGTTGATTAAGTCACTGGAAATGGTTCTATGAAGTGCCGTGGTGTCCGGGCTGCTCCATGTGAAACAAGTATCATCCGCGAAGAGACAGATTTTACCACTGATGTCCAGACTAGCAATATCGTTGATAAACAACAGAAACAAAATAGGACCTAGCACTGAGCCCTGAGGTACTCCGCATTCTATTGGCTTGCAAGAAGACACAGTCTTATCAACCCTCACACGCTGGTTTCTTTTGTTAAGGTAGGACTTAAACCATTCAAGAGGCGTTCCCCTGATACCATAGTACTGCAATTTGTTAGCTAGGATGTTATGAATAGCTCCCGTACACCGGGTGCATCTCAAAAGTGGCTCACCCCTATAACTTTTTTATTTTTTTTCAGTTAAAACGACGAGATTTGGCATGTTAGTATATGACATAAATTGGGATTGATTGACGTATCCAATTGTTTTCGGTCACTTCCGGTTTCACCGGAAATTACTACAACTTTTGATTTTTAAATGGCACCCTCGGTATTTTTTTACTTTATTCGATAGAAAATGGCACTCATATGGTTTATTTGAAATTGTTATATGCGGTTCATAACGACAATTTGGCTCAAAATACCAAGTGTGTGGTATCAAATTATTCGTAAAAAACTGCTTTTTCCAAATATTTATGCTAATGAGCCACCCTCGTTCCATTTGAAAAAAATGAGATATGGTTAAAAATACGATTTGGGCATCTTTTAACCAGCCAGGACAAGACACTAAAAACATTAGACGATCAAATCTATTTTTCCAAGGCTCCTTGATTAAAAATTAGTGTTTTTAATACAGCAATGGCACTCTAGATTGTAATTTAAAATACAATTTTTTTGAGTGACTATGTCAAAAATTGACATATGATATGTTATTTGATTCAGAGTGTCATTTTCTATCGAATAAAGTAAAAAATACCGAGGGTGTCATTTAAAAATCAAAAGTTGTAGTCATTTCCGGTGTCGGTAACCGAAAACAATTGAATACATCAATAAATCCCAATTTATGTCATATACTAACATACCAAATCCCGTTGTTTTATCTGAAAAAATAAAAAAGTTATAAGTGAGCCACTTTTGAAATATACCCGGTATAGCGTTTAACGTAAGAAAATCCCATGTTATTTAAATGGAAAATTATCATGATTCCGGCACGGTTTAAATTAAAAATTAAGAGCGTGTTTACGTTGGATATTTTTTAGAGCAAAAACTAAAATTTCAGAGAGCGTAAAAAAAATCAACTTGGGAAATAACGGACACCCTAATGCACAATACAGAACAAGAAATCAAAAGAAAGGGTAATCTTTGAAAAAAAATCAACTTGGGAAATAACGGACACCCTAATGCACAATACAGAACAAGAAATCAAAAGAAAGGGTAATCTTTGAAATACAGGATCTACAGGGTGTCCCACTTAAGATGGATACAAGCCAATATCTTAGTTGTTTGTTGAGCGATCTTTTTCATTTTTGGCAAGAAGCTGTATAATAAGACGTACATTTTGCCTGGGGTAAGAAATGCGATATCTCATAGACGTACGTTTGGAAAATGGAAAAGTATCATGATTCCGGCACGGTTTAAATTAAAAATTAAGAGCGTGTTTACGTTGGATATTTTTTAGAGCAAAAACTAAAATTTCAGAGAGCGTAAAAAAAATCAACTTGGGAAATAACGGACACCCTAATGCACAATACAGAACAAGAAATCAAAAGAAAGGGTAATCTTTGAAATACAGGATCTACAGGGTGTCCCAAGATGGATATGGATATCTTAAGCGATCTTTTTCATTTTTGGCAAGAAGCTGTATAATAAGACGTACATTTTGCCTAGGGTAAGAAATGCGATATCTCATAGACGTACGTTTTAATGGGGTTTGATATTTCTCGAGTCAAGAGTAAACAAACTATCCTTAGGACAGTATTTATTTCAAATCTGATAAACTATATTGAATCCTCCTTACCCAAGATACTTCAGTTCTAATTTTGATAAATATTGATACAGGGAGTGTTAAAATAAGACATTTTTATTTTTATTATTATTTTTTAAGTACTTACGCCGCCACTGGATAAACAACTGGTTTATTATCAATAACCAATTATCAATTAATAATCGATTTAAGTTTTCAGATAGCTTCCATAATAATTAAGATACGATACAAAAAAACTAAATATTTTCAATTTATTTTGTTTACTTTAAAAAATTGTTTTTTAAGTTTGCTAATACAAATGAATAAAATGAGTTACAAAATAACTAAAAAAAAACAGTTTTCAATGGAATCTGAAATATGATTTTTGTTCGTTTTATTGAGGAATATTTTAAAAAATCCAAATAATTATTTAAAACAATAATAATAGTATCTTTATTAATATTCAAAGGAAAAGTGTAACAAAAAATTCAACAAGATGGCGGCGTTCATATACCATGCTCTTCCACGCAACCATCAAACCAAAATATTCTATTGACTTGTAACAGACAGAAAACTAGACTTATAGTCTTAGATAAATTGACAATACATATAAACAAGAATTAAAACTAACTTAAATCTATATACAATAATTTTCAATACTAAGGTCATGCAAGCACAGAAAATTACAAAAAAACATATATTAAAATTGTATGGTGAATTCACACAAGGTAAGAATTAGAAAGCACAAGGAGGTGTGTAACATACATCCATTTTTTAAGTTAAGTATCTTACTGCCTCTTTTTTGAAATGTTTAATAAATTTTGATTTAAAAGTCCCCAGAGAATCGCAAGTCTTTAAATTTTCAGGAATACTATTGAAAATTTTAACCGCTCTATAAGAAAAAGAGTGTTGAAATTGTGCTGTCGAGTGCCTGGGGATCTTATAAAGATTGGAGTGTCTAGTCAAACGATTGTGGATATCTACATTTTTTACCAATTTTTTACAGAGGTACTCTGGTATTCCAAAGCTATCTAACTTTAAAACAAGACACGCCATCTGAACTTGAAATCTTTCATCCAGAGTTAACCAGTGAGATTCTCTAAACTTATCAGACACATGATCATATTTTCTTAAATTATAAGCAAATCTCAAACAGTAATTTTGTATTTTTTGTAATGAGTTTTTATTTGTTTGAGAAAGTGCGGGCCAGTAAACAACATTACAATATGCAATACGGCTTAAAATTAGACTTTCAGTTAATTTTAATTTTACCTCAGTATCCAAATATAATTTATGCATGTACAAATGTTTAAGAATGTAGAAACAAGTTTTAACTAAGTGGTTAACATGGGTAAAAAAACGTAAATCATTATCGATAAACAGTCCTAAATTTTTGCATACTGTATTTATTTTTAAAATATTACTATTTATACTAATACGAAAATTTGGTTTGAAATCACTGGCTATACTCGCTCTCTCTTTGCCAAAGAGAACAACTTCAGATTTATTGTTATTGAGTGACAGTAAATGAGAATAACTAACTTCCTGAATAGAAAATAAGTCTTCATTTATATTTAGAGCTGTGATTTGAGCTTGTTCAGGTTTAAACGAAATATATATTTGTGAATCGTCCGCAAAAGTAAGAATGGAGCAATATTTAATAAAGTTATGAAAATCAGCAGTGTACAGTGTATAAAGTAGCGGGCCCAAAACACTACCCTGAGGGACCCCTTTAGTAATTTCCAAGTAAACCTGAGTGAGTGTTTCCTATGACAACCGTCTGATATCGACCTTTGAAATAATTATTGAAAAAAGTCACTGCTGATTTTGATACTCCAAAATACGAAGTCCACACTGTCGAACGCCTTGCTGAAGTCTAATAAGACCAGACAAGT